AGGAATGTTACTATGTCACAAAGATCTAATATTTGTGACTTCCACAAATTCTTTGTTCTTTGTAGAGTTTTTTTTTAACATGGAATAGAGAAGTTACACAGATTTCAGCTCTAAGAAGCGTCTGTCTCTCTATTTTGTTTTATTCTTTCAAAGAGTAAGTACCATCCTAGCCTTGCAAAAATTTTTAATTGCCGAACAATTGTGTGTTTATTAAACTGCCTTTTGCAAATAAGGGTTGTCTGAGAATCCTTGCAGTATTTGGACTGTTAGTTTAAGCATGAACTTCTGTGATGTAAAGAGCAGCGGGGCTAAATACAAGAGAGTTTCTCTGTTTATGTGCTCCACAAATAAACCCCTTGCAAGAGGAGTTTAGATTTGGTGTGGTGGAATGTGCAGCCCCCTTTGTATCCTGCAGATAGCTATGGTAAGTATCAACTTAATTTCTGCTTTGAGAAGAATTTTGCTTAAATACCTCCTAAGTAGTGTTTTCACGAAAACTTCTGTCTTCCTGAGCAATATGACCTCTAAAGCAGAGACCTTCACAAAGGATGAAGTGTCATTCTCTTAGTCTGTGGGAATTTGTCCTGGCAGAGATACTAATTACTTTCCATTAGGGTTGTGAGGAGTTTGCATCTCATGTATCTTTACATTCATAATGGAGTGCTTTCTTTAGGCTATGTATTTCCTTCAGGGAGATGCTAGCTGCATTTTTTTTAAAGAATATTACTTATCTTTTATGTTTCTAAGATTTGATAAGCCATATGGTAAAATGTCAGAAAAAAGAAATAGTCTCAGCAGAAATCTAGAAACACCAACTTTTGAAGCTTGTTTAGAAGTGGGCAAAAGTTTGCTGTTGATATTGGGAGGTATGTGCTAAGTATTGGAGGAATGGTCAAAGTACTGCAGTCAGTTACACGTTAGTTACTGTATTGGTTCAGCTGGTGATACCGAACCCTTCTGCTACAGAAACTCTAAAGCCTGACTTGCCAGTTCCGCTAAGTCTAGAGTTAAGTTGCTTAAGGTTTATAAATGCAAAAGCATGTGTCTGACATTCTTGGCCATATAGAGTAAATAAACAATCACCATGTTATGGGCAATGCCTTAGAGCAAAGGTTTGAGAGGAGCTCTGAGGGACCTCGTCAGCAAAGCTCCTGCTGATCTGGGAGTTCACACTTAGTTATTAGCACCTGGGATGCGGGGGCTGGAACTCTGAACCATGTATTCTGTGCCTAAGGTGTACACTCAAGCAAATGTCAGTATGAAGATGAGCAATGGCAATTTGAAGTGACTGCCTTATATTTTGGACTGGTATAAGGTCATGTCAAGTAAAAGCACATTCCCCCTCACAAATTGTCAGCTATAAATATTCAGCCCATCTTAGCTATCTAAGCAGAGGCAATTGTAGCTTTTTTTTTTTTTCCTCTGTTCTCTTTTCTTCCTCTGCTGAGCCCACACAGCTGCAGCTCTGAGTTGAGGGTGGTAAAGGGAGAGTGTTTCTCCTCTTTAGGTGGGATGTGACCTTTACTTGTGATGCAATGGCAGCGTGTTCTTCAGGGGATACGCATAGGCTTTAGACTGATGCCCAGGCTGCTACAAGCAAGGAAGTGTTTTAGTAAATTGCAAGAGCAATGTTGTTATGACTGCAGTAAACTTGCAAAAGGGTATAATAGCAAAGAAGTTATTAGTTAATCCTCTAATTCCAGTGTAGGTCTGTCAGTAGCTAGTTTAAGCCATTTACAGGACCCATAAGGGTCTTCAGATCAGTTGCTCTGATAAGAGGTTCTAGTTTTCTAGCTTTTTGAAGAACTCAGTTCCAGTAATCCTCCCTTTCTTCCCCTTTTCCTTCCCTCCCTGAAGGTCATCACATTCCAGTTTCCTAGATGAAAGGATGTTACCAGAATCGTTGCACAACTCCTATGCGAGAACAATTGGCAGGGTGGTGTCTGAGCTGGCCTTTTTTTGCATGATCTTAAAAATGAAGCTGCGTTCTGCCAAGAAAGCCAGCTGCTGGGGGATTGCTGCAGTCCTGGCAGTCTTTCTAGGCCTACAGTCAAGCAGATGTGGACAGAGCCCTGAACTTCAGAAGATGTTTGGGCCAGGAAGGGAATTTGAGGTCCGTCTGAATGTTCAAGCGCTGTTTGGGTGTCAGTGGGATTAGCAGTGGTACCTGGTGACTGCTCTCCCCAGGCACTGCTTCGTTTGTCTTTGTGGTGCCAGAAAATATGGTAAAAACTGTAGTAGCAGTTCACAGCCTGTTACACGAGTGTGTGCTGGTGGGGCTGAACCAGGAAACGTTACCAGAGCTGAACACTCGCTGTGTGCTTTCTGTGTAATGCTCCAGATCCTGTCCAATTCGCACGTGGCATCACTCTTCAAATGCAGGATTTTATAGTGGAATAGGACACTAAATACGTTGAACTGCAGAGGAGAGTAGTTGCACAGGATGCAGGGAGAAAGGAAATCGAAGGACAAGGAACCTGCACCCAGGTCTTCTTCAATTTCTGGTCCTTTGCTTCACTGCGACTACAGTTCTCTTCAGAAAATGGTAATGACACATGGTGGGTCATGAGAAGACATCATTGAATAAGTTTTCAAGTTCTTGGTAACATTGTAGGCACGGTGACAAGTTTTTAGGGAGGTAATAATTTCATTAAATTAACTGGTGATTCTAGAGCGAAGTAGAACCTGACAGGCTTTTGAGACCTGCAAACCTGAAGAAGGAAAGTGTCTTCCAAACCTATTGCTGTAGTAGGTGATTATGTCTCGGTAGGGAACTGAAAGACTTGGACATGAAACTTGTTTACATCTCAAAGCACTCTTCCATCTATAAGGACAAATCTAGAATCATAAACTCTTTTTATGAGAAAGAGTTCGAGGAAGACTGTGAAGAAGCTGCCAACTACAAATTAAGGTTGCTCTTTAATCTTTAGCCTGGAAGGCTCCCAACAACTTGGAAAAGGGTGTGAATGTGTAGAGGGGAAAACTTCCTTCTGCTTGAAGCAGTGTAAACCCCATGCTTTGTGGGAGCACAGAGAGAATGTCTGTATGGGAGAAGCTGCATTCCTGGTTGTGAGAGAAGGGCTGATAACAGTGGTTGTATCCAGCTGTGTACATTGCCTTACTGTTCTCATAGTGGTGAAATCTCATGTCTATTTTGATGGCATTGTACATCACTGACTTGAAATGTTGTCAGAAGTTGTGCGGTTTTGTGTGTGAGACATGTGGATGCAGCTTTCTCAGAAGGTACAATAGTAGCTTTTTTCTGCGTGTAGATTGCTCTGGACACCTTTGTTTTTGATTGCCTCAATGATAGAAATGCAAGTGGACTTTTGGCCCACTATCTGTAGCATCTTGAAATAGGCCAGTTTCTTTTTATTTTTTTGTTGGGTTGATTTTTTTTCAACTTCACTTTGTGCTCTGGGGTATTTAAAATAAACAAATAATTGGTCTGAAAACATCAGAGAAATCTGGGTCTCCACTAGAGGATCTGATCTGAGCCAATTAAAAATGTAAGTTTCATAAGCACAAAATGCCTTTGTGTTTCACTGAAATCTTATTGTTTTTTGGAGAAGAGGAATTAAGCTTCTGCAGAAGTTCTGGGGGAGAAAACATTAAGAAATGCTGTTAATGGAGGAGAAGAGATGTCTTAAATGGCAGTGAATGCTGTTAAAAATACCAGCTCCTACCCACTAATGATAGGCCAGGTTTTGCAAACTTAACAGGTTTCATCCTTTTTTCTCATGCTTTGCCTTTGATGGGATTTTGCCTTTGATTGCATGGTTGTGGGTGGAATGTCTGATACTCTTGGCTACAAAAACTAGATAGGTTCTTAAAATTACATTTGTTTTGGCCTGGAGCAGAGCTATGTGGGTGTTGGATGTTTCTTTGAGACCTGGCATTCCTTTTGGTTAATCACCTTGTGTTATCTACTACTTTAAAGGAAGACGATTAATATCTAGCAGCTGACTTTGCTACATGGCATAGATCTGCACTGCTGTAGATTTAATGCTTCAGTATATGAATCACCCATCTGGTGAAGGCGGTGTTTGGATAATCAATTATCCAGAAATATGCTCTGTGGACCAGAGACAAGTAATTATAAATGTTACTTATTATAGTCCCATCAATGGCATAGTGCTTAATCTCTTAAGCACATTAGAGTATTAGTTGATCAGAAACGCATTATCCTCTGCTTAGGTGAGATGATGGGGATCTTTTTCTGGGCAATACAGAAACATGTTACACTGTGCTAGGCTAGAATTTAATTAACTGATAAATAGGTTGTCCTATGTGTATCTGAATAGCTGGAATCTTTAAATGATACTAGCTGCCTAATGTCCTGTGTATTAATTTTGACAAATGTAAAAAAAATAATCCTTACAGAATACATGATAAATTGCCTGCTGCTGCTTATGCAAAATGAGCTGGATTATCACAAGTAATTGGTTTAATTTAAACCCAGCTCATTTTAACTGAAAAAGGTTAGGGAGCAGCCACATGAGCAGTTCAGCAAGTAGATCTAAGGAGGAAAATAGTCATTTCCATTAATACCTACAAGAAGGTTAAAACACAGTGAACAGCGCCAGCTGATTCGATTAGGCTTCCATTAATAATTCAAAGTGTAAGCAAACTCTTATTCAAGATGCAGTAACCAGTGAACTTTGAGCAGAGTTTGAATCTTGCTTAAAAGCAGGTAACTGCCTTGTTTTGCCAGGTACTTCGTGATTAAGAAACTGGTATGGAAAAACTAGGGAGTGCTTGGACTTGATGGCTATGCCTGTCTTAGTCCATTCAGCTACAGCCTTGTCAGAAAAGGAGTGATTAATCTTGATTACATGAGGGAGAAGAAACTGCGAATTCGAGTTTGCATTGAAGTTTAACACTTCCATAAGCACAAGCAGTACATTCATAGTTTGTACTTTACTAGAGGTCTTGTGTTGCAGTTACACATGGGACTAAGGTCTATGGTGTTCATGGTCTTATCTAAATTTCTTTCCTAGGGAAAGCACGTGTGCAGCAGCTAGCAGAGAACACGAGATATTTCAGGAGACGACTGAAAGAGATGGGCTTTATCATCTATGGAAATGAAGATTCCCCTGTTGTGCCTCTGATGCTGTACATGCCAGCAAAAATTGGGTAGGTTTAACGGGATAACTTCTCACTCGCTTTATTTAAAGATAGAATGGTACAAGAATATTAAGATTTTTCTGAATGTGAGAAAAGACTGGTTTGATTTTTGCTTTTATGATCATTACTGCATCTTATAAAACATGGTAACTTCCTATAAGAGACCTTGAGAAAATTGAGGCTTGTAGCTTGGGGCAACAAGAAAACACTTCAGGGAAGCAATTTTACTGCTACATGCCATGTTTTCAAATTTGGGGTTTTTTTCATTTTATTTATGTGTGAAGTGTATATATGTGCTAAAGAGAGGCTGAAATTGAGTGGAAATTAACATTAAAAGTCACAAGAGGAATCTTACAACCAGCTCCTGGATCAGAAGCAGCCAACATTTCCACAAACAAACTCTGACAATTAAAAAAAGAAAAAGCAAGGGGCTGGGATGTGATGAGACACAACAACGGATATGAAGTATATATTAAAGAATTTTGCAATGTGAACAAAAGCCTAATTTCAAGGACAACTTGGCTTTGATATCTGCTTTTCAGTGTCTGTGTATAATGCAGTGCTCAACCAACACTTCCAAATTTGGAAAGCATAGCTTCATTTTAAGCCATACTGAACATCCCTAGTGCTCTTCTAGCTCAGTGAGGCTTCAGCCTGGCTCAGCACCGCGGTTCTGTGAGGGAACAAACGTCTCTGGCGCTCTACATTAAGCTAGACACGATCTTCCTCTGCCTTTCTCAATATAACCAAATTTAAACAGCCTGCAACCTTTATGGGTGTTGCAGAGTCTGGGGTGTGCACCATCCAGCACACAGAGAAATACTGTTTCCACCGCCCAGCTGCCCTACCAGTCAGTACAATCTTTTCCCTGGAAATGATCATGGAAATACTTATTAGCTGAGCAGTTGGGCCAGTAGCTTAAAAATGAGCAAGAACACAGAGCTCTGATAAGACTCGGCCCTTAGGATCTACATTGGGTCTACTTCATCCTTTCTTTGTCTCTTGCAGTCTGTTTTTAAAATAGTTTGAGAGTACAAAGTGGGTAAAAATGAAGTGAATCAGGATGCAGCTATTTATAAGGAAATAATTGTAACAGAATTAAAAAGCAGAAAATTTAAAAACCTAGTAAAAGGATGTTATTTTTATACATCCTTATAAGCCTCTTAAGTTCATTGCTGCTTATGAAGACAATGTCAGTTCAAAAAGGATTAGCCATTTTCTGTGGCCTGTGGAGACACCCACAATGCACTACCATTATGGAAAGGATCTAGATCTTCATGCCTCTCATAACGTAAGTCACAACTGCTGATTTCTTTAATCCCCATAAGAATTTGTTTTGTTGAAGATGCTGTGTGACGATTGTATGAGGTTTTTGCACCTTAAAAATATTTGGTACCAGATCAGGCAATCTCAATTTACTGTGGCAATTCAATGGCTCCTATGATAGGCACTTAAAAAGTGGTACATACTCTGACACCATAATGTACTTTAATTGAATTAAATTGATGAAAACAAACCATCTTGAAAGTGCAGAAACATCTGCTTTGGGGGATTGCAGCATGGGGGATTCCTTGTTCATTTAAACTTCTGAGCCAAAATACCTGTTTCCTCTCAGAAGGGTTTCCAAGCTTAAGTTACAAATCCATTTAGAAACAGCCTGCTAAAGACCAGCCTCGGCCACATATAAACTTTCAGCTTTGTTAGAACTTAATACAGTGAAGCCTTTTGAGGAGGACCACCTTGGCATTGAATTAAAAAAAAAAAAGCTTTTGTGAACAGGTGTTCAGCCTCTAAAAGAAAGCACTGGAAGCACCAAATTGTGGTATTTTACAGGCTTGCTTCAACAAAGGCCTGTGTGGGTTAATGTACTGAGAGCTTCGTGCTGCTGCTTTGCTGGTATCGTTCTGACGATCATCTCTTGTTCTTTCTGGCAGTGCATTTGGGCGTGAGATGCTGAAGCGGAACATCGGTGTTGTGGTTGTGGGCTTCCCTGCCACCCCCATCATCGAGTCCAGAGCCAGATTCTGCTTGTCTGCAGCTCATACCAAAGAGATGCTTGATACAGTAAGTGTCTCATCTTGTCTTCCTTTTGCTCATGCCTTCTATAAACAGATGCAACGGTTGTCTGGTTTTTTTTGTAGAGTGGTTCAATGTTTGGTACACAAACTAGTTGAATCTAACGTTCAAAGCCTTGTGTAGCAGAGCTGGCAGTGACTCCATCTCTCTTTCCTTGCTTCAACGATGCAGAATGGCTGCCTATAGTAAATCTCAGGGACTTTCTTTTCCTATTTTGAATGATGTGAGACAGTCTCATTCCTTTGAGACAGTGCTTATTCCCCTCTTAAGAGGCTCTACCTTCCACTGAATCTTTTAGAAGGAAAAAATTCAGCTTCTTCTGACCCCAGATGCAGAAGGGAAAAAAAAAATGACCACCTTGGGATTGAATTTAAAAAAAAAAAAAGCTTTTGTGAACAGGTGTTCTGCCTCTAAAAGAAAGCACTGGAAGCACCAAATTGTGGTATTTTACAGGCTTGCTTCAACAAAGGCCTGTGTGGGTTAATGTACTGAGAGCTTCGTGCTGCTGCTGCTTCGCTGGTATCGTTCTGACGATCATCTCTTGTTCTTTCTGGCAGTGCATTTGGGCGTGAGATGCTGAAGCGGAACATCGGTGTTGTGGTTGTGGGCTTCCCTGCCACCCCCATCATCGAGTCCAGAGCCAGATTCTGCTTGTCTGCAGCTCATACCAAAGAGATGCTTGATACAGTAAGTGTCTCATCTTGTCTTCCTTTTGCTCATGCCTTCTATAAACAGATGCAACGGTTGTCTGGTTTTTTTTTGTAGAGTGGTTCAATGTTTGGTACACAAACTAGTTGAATCTAACGTTCAAAGCCTTGTGTAGCAGAGCTGGCAGTGACTCCATCTCTCTTTCCTTGCTTCAACGATGCAGAATGGCTGCCTATAGTAAATCTCAGGGACTTTCTTTTCCTATTTTGAATGATGTGAGACAGTCTCATTCCTTTGAGACAGTGCTTATTCCCCTCTTAAGAGGCTCTACCTTCCACTGAATCTTTTAGAAGGAAAAAATTCAGCTGCTTCTGACCCCAGATGCAGAAGGGAAAAAAAAAATAAGCCTAAGAACCTCCAGAAGATCTATATTCTTCTCAAAAAAAAAATAAAATTCAAACCTCATCACATGACTAGCAGTAATATTTTTTTATTTCAAAAATTACTATTCTGCTTCAGAGCACTGTGTCTTAAATGATGGTGTCCTAAGTGAGCCTGTACCACATGCAATGCCTTACTGACTCCTGCCCACACTGAGTCTCTTCCAGTGGGAATGGAGGTCCCCCCAAGGAGGTGCTTGCGTCGCAGTCAGGAGATGCTGCCTTCAGATCAAGTATAGCAGTTACTCCCTGACTCATAGTTGAAAGCGGATTATATGAATGAGCCTGACAATCCTTATTACATTTTGGTGGGATAACTACATTTATTTTTGAGTTGTCTGAATAATTTTCTTTGGGCATGTACATGGGCTGTCTTAGGGTCTGTCAAAGTCCTCCGTTGTATTTTTATTTTTTTTTTTCCCCCACTTCCCTGTTTCTGTGACTCAGAAGCTAAGCTGGGTTGAGTCACCGCCTTGGCTTCAGGAAAGTAGACTCTGTCCTGTTCGGAGACCTGCTTGAAAGAATCCCATAGGTTATGGTCCCAAAGAGAGGAGGTGTCCAGGGCAGCTGGTTGATTTCTAATTTCCTGCTTGAGGAGACCCTTCCCAATTTCTTGTCCTGCTACTTTTCCTATAATTAGCCCTATTCAGTTGTTTCTGTTCCAAATAAAAATTCTGAAACTGGATGTTTGGAGAAGGCTCTCTCCTTCCCTTCCTTTCGCCATGTATAAAATTAATAGTATCCCAGACCTGGCTCAGAGCATGGCAGTAGAACTGAGTGCATTGACAGAGAAGGGAGCAGTAACTTCTGGCCAGGGGAACATGGGGGGATGAGTGAGAAGGAGGTAGGAGGAAGGAAAAGAAGGAAAACTGAAGGCTCTGAAATCATATTGCTGCAAACTGAGCTATAACTGAAACCATACAAACCTGATCTGTACTACCTGAGCAATCATGCAGTCTTGCTGTTGGTTAGATCCGTGGTCTTCTCTCTTAGTGACTAGCTGGAGTCTTTACCATAACAAGCTGGTTTTGCAAGGTCTGTATAAGTATTATACTTGCTCTCTTCCAAAACCAATCTGTAACTTTTATTACTCTGCTTTAAAAAGCTCTTTTCCTGTCAATTCACTTACAAGTCTTTCTGCTTTCCAGAAAATGTTTCAAGTTCTGTGCATTTAACTGTAAATACTCGTTTCTAGAGTACCTCTGAAGGCGCTAAATGCTCTAAATGGAGGAAATGCTTGTTTAATGTGTTAGGGCTTGTCTGCCTAAGAAAATTCATGCAAGGCAAAATGAGGTGTGAATTTTGACGTGAATGAAGAAATCCTGATTTAGCTCAGTATGTGGAGGCTTTGTTCCAAGTTAGTGTAATCCACTTTTAGGTTCAAAACAGCTGCATGCTCTGAACCCAGAACGTTGGCAAGAAGAATTAATAAGGAGCAACTCTTTGTGTCAGTGACTTTGTGTTGTGTTTTCTTGTGATGCAGTGAAAGGGGATTGATTTCAGGCAGCTAATCATTAAGGCAGCCCTCGGAACCGATCCCTCTGCTGAACTGTGGCAACAATATCCAGGAGGAAAAAAGAACTGAAATGAATAGACTTGGAGAGAGCTGGCAAAGAGCTTCTTCAAGTCAGTGACAGAGAGGAGAGCTTGGTAGCCCATCCGTGTCTACATGGATGCTAACTAGGGCTGTTGCAGCATTTTTTCTGAACAAAGTTTATCCAGGTTTGGGGGACAGGGAAGAGAAGCTTGTCTTGTAAATGCTGATATTTGTAATGCTTCCTTGTTCTTATTAAATAAACCCACATGATGGGGAACAGTTCTCAGTTACAATTTTAACCGTTTTATGTAAATAAAACTTCCTTGCCTGAAAATATTTGGCTCAGGATCAGAGTGAAGTCCCTCATAACCTGCATCCCTGTGGGCTGGTGCTTTCTTTTCAGTGATGAAAAATATATTACACCCTCCTGAAGTCAGAGTTCACCAGTGCCATTTCCTTTGTAGTCTTTGCTGGTCACGTGGTCCTTTTTGTTTTAAATTAATAAAATCCTAAATCTGCATTCAAGAATAACAGTTAACAGACTCTTTCAACAGAAATTCAACCTTAAATTGTTTCCATATGGGATCTTTACTTAAAGCTCTGGCAAACTGTGCCCACGCTTTTGTTTTGTTTTGTTTTTACCGAGGTCCAACTTCTGGGTTTGTCATTCCCCCAGATTTTAGAGTGGAGAGGCTCTTGCTGCCAGATATAACAAGCATGAGGGGCCATTGTTTAAAGAAACAAAAACTTGAACTATCCATCCAGGAAGGAAAAGCATGTAGGGATATTAACCCCCGTCTGCCAACTATTCTCAAGAGACAGGCATTTGACCCAGAACATGTTAAAATTGGAGCATTAATATTGAATTAGTGGCATTCTGAAGGAATGCTGAATGTATTTATCTGAATACATTTACAATTCAAGGGAGTGCAGAATGTCAGCCTTTGAGTTCAAGACTCACATTATATTTGGAATTCATCTTCTGAACTCATTTCTTTGTCACTTGCCTATATAAGATAATTAGCGTCATGTACACTAGCAGATTTGTCTGCAGCAACTGTTTTATTTTGTACCTTGCTCCTGTTCCGTAGAGAAATGAAGTTTCGGGTTTGGCTTTTACCAAGCCCTATTGTGAACCAGTGTCTTATCAAAGAGATTGCAACACAAAGGAAGTATGATTAACTGAGCCGGGACTTTCCTCATTTCTAACGCTAGCAGATGTTTGATCTCTGGTAAACTTCATAACGTTTGCGTTCAGGTCAAAACGGTGAAAGGTTTCGTTAGCTCATTAGCTATCAGTTGCCCAAGTGTTGCCTTTGTGGCAACCTCAGTCAGTGGGACATAATTTCTAGGGAGAAAATGCTTGGGATCTGAACCAGAATAACTTCTTTTCATTCCTTGGATTGGCTGGCAAAAATCTCCCATGCAATGTTGTTTATGACACAGAGCTTGCGTCTCTAGTTGTATGTGGACAATGCAAATTAATCAAATGTAGATGCAACAAATGCATCAATAGAACCTGTTAGCACAATATTGCAGCTTGCCTTTTGCTATCTTGCAATTCAAAGAAATACAGTAGGTCAGAGCTGGTACACTAACACATGTTGTTTTCATACTGAATGATAGATAAAGAAGAGTCAAACTTCAGCCTACTTTTTTTTTTTTTTTTGCTTCAGTTTTTTTATGTCCAGGAAGGCAGGAATGTTGTTCTCTGTTTTTCTGTCTATGAATAGTCATGGGTTTTGGGGGGCTGACTGTCAAATTTGAGTTATTATTGCTGGATATTTTGATCCTGCCTTGGAAGTAGGGTAGTCAGGTGGGTGCAGAGTCGCTCTTAGTTAAGTGACCAGTGTTGCTCACTTGGTCTCAAGATTTCTGAATGCTAAAACCAAATCCTATGCACCTCTGAAGCTACAGACTTCTACACAGGAAAACCTTACTGAAGTAAAATGGTTGTTGGAGTAGTCTGCAGACACGTGGAAAGGAAGATGTGCTGACAAGTTGCTTGCATCTGTCTCCTCTGCTGATCCACTGTGCTCTCTTTCTCAGGCTTTAAAAGAAATCAATGAAGTTGGGGACCTTTTGCAACTGAAATATTCCCGTCACCGTTTGGTACCTCTCTTGGACCGTCCGTTTGACGAGACAACATATGAAGAAACTGAAGACTGAACTCCCTCCGTGTGCCTTGGTGGGAGGAACACACCCCATGGGACACTCCGTGCCACGCAGGCCACAGCGTCCATGAACAACACACTTGTGACTGCTTAGAATAAAAGACATTTCCTCACAATACTGAAGTGGCCACATCAGCTCTAAATGGCATTTTGTAAATAGGGAGAGGAGAAAAAAAAAAAAAGCTTTGATTCCTGTGTCTTCGGGGTCTGGCCCTAGAGGTGCTTGGCTTTATTTTTTTCTTGTTGCTTTTTTTATTTATTTGTCTCAATGAATTCACAGCAACCCAAGTTGGCTGTGCCTGTATGCACCATTAGCTTCCCAAATGCTGGCTGAGATGTTGTGAGCATGTGTGACGCTGGCATGGCAGCATTTCCAGTGTCACTGCTAGGTGTCTGACCTTCCAGTAAGGAGTGAGCTGACCTGTCCGTTCCTGGAGACTTCCTAGAGAAACTGTTGATTGCTAACTTTAACGTACTTAACAAGATGGATAATCAACCAAAGTTTTTTTGGGTTTTTGTTTGTTTTTTTTTTCTTTTACAGTTACTTGTGTTTAAAACTTGAATTTAGCCTTTTTAAAATAAATGTGTTGTTGACATGTCACTGACAGGACCATTGTTCCCAAACATTATTTAGTTTTGTAAGCCACAGGCAGGAGGACTTCTGGGACTGTAGCTTCCTTTCTTCCCAGTATGGATACCAGATTGTTTCCTGGTTTTGACACTAATTGTCTTCTTGATATAGGGTAAGTGATGGAGAGGAAGGGGTTTTGTTACTTTATTCTTTTTAATGGGCTGTGTTTTGTCTTCCTTCTGGCATACTTCTGTTTAAAAAAAAAAAAAAAGAGGAAAAGGTGGGTTTATTATGTGTTGCTTTCTCATCTTCAGGGTAATTTCTCTTTCTTTAGAATGCTCATAAAATGATGCACAAGTCACTGCTAACTTCTAGAAGGGTGCTCTTGGGATTAAGTAAACCATAGCAAGCCTTGTGCTTCTTGTTAAGACCAGAACTCCTCAACAAGCAGGCCTGTACAATGGATGACTATTAGGAGAACCACTTATTTTGTGCAGATCTGTGAAAGACAGATTGCTATTGTTTGCTGCACTAATTCACTGTTTCTTGTCATATACGAGGTGTTCTTCATTGGCCTTGTTGTGCAAGGCTTTTATGCAGAGTCTAGACAGCTTGGATCTCTTATCATACATCACATTTCAGCCAGCCAGCAGTCTCAGCTGGCAGCTGAAGAGAGAATGTCCTCACAATTGCATTTAGTTTGAGATCTTTATTCTTTGCATTCTTGTTACTGTGAGATAAATTATTGTTCACTGAGCCAGTTCCTATTTGGAATCCTTATTTGCAAGTTCCACACTGTCTTACTCTGATGGAAGTTTAAAATAGACACCTTTGCTCTAGCACACCTTAGAGATAGTCTGCTACTTGGGCATTGCATCTTGAATTCTTTCAGTGAACAGAATGGACCATTGGAGAGATACCAAAATTTTATAACAGGCGCCAGTTGCAGAATAGTTTGTTTCTGTATTTTGTACCTTGGACATGTAGGGTTTCTACAAAGATAGTAAAGCTTTAACATGGTGTCAGTTGGATAGGGCCAGCTCTTCAGATTTGGTTAGCATGATGCTTTTTGCAGGTGACTGGAGTTTTTTAAACATACTCTTCATTGTAATGCTGAAGCAGAGTGCAGCTCAAAGCTCTTCACCTGGTGCTGCCAAAAAATTTAATAATTTTTTTAAAGTTCTTTTATGTTCATTCTGCAACTAACAGGGAAGGAGTGCTTTGGTTGCTAGAACCAAGCAGTTCCACAAATACATCTGGGGATTTAAAGCGTATTTGGCTTCTATTTTATAGAGAATCTTTCTTCATGCATTCGTAGATCTTTTTCCATTTTAATGTAACAGAACTTCAAAATGTTGATTCAGTTTTTTTACCATTGCATTCACAAATTTAATTAGATGAGAAAAACTAAAATGGACTGTTTCAAAATAGGTCAAATGGTTTCTGTCTTAGTCCGCTAACGCTGATTTGCTCCCCTTCTGGAGCAATGTGTGTGCACGGTCGGAGAAATCTGTAACCCGTGTGTGCAACTCTGATAGTTATGGAATAATCTCATTTGTTCAGCCACAGAGTGGGTAAATGGCAATTAATGAGCTTACTTTCTCTCCTGCATTCTGCCCAGGACTAGCTCTAACATTCCAGCAGATGACTTTCTTTTCTGACTTCAAGAAGCTTTACCTCAAAGAATTACTGTTTGTTTGTTTTGTTTTTTTTTCTTTCTGGATTTTTAGTAGGGAACAAGAGGAGGTTGGTGCAGGAAGCTCTGACTCTGGTCCTCTTGATTTGATCATGGAACAATATAAGATTGGACAAAACTGACCAAGTTGAAGGCACAGGCCTGGGTCAGTAGGGAGCTGTTTTGAGCATTCCCAGATGTACAGCGTGCTTGTGTCTGCCGCAGTAGTTAAGTCAGTTTGAAAACTGTGATGTATTAAGTTAGGAGTGGGTTATTGTAGATCCCACAAGTCTCTAGTCTTAATCTTGTCTCTGGGATTCAGTTTTAGGACAGCTTGTCTTTAGAAGGGAGAAAAACATCTGGGTAAATCTCAGTAATTTGGGTAACTCCTGAATAACACTTCTGAAGTTGTCAGTGTTTTAAAATTACTGGTCCCCATTGGAATTCCAGTTGTGCTTGTTGAGGAAATTGTGTCCATGCTGAACTTCTGCCATTTAGTATCTTTCTGCTGTGTCACACTGCCTGCATCTGACTTTGAATTCTGGGTTGCACAGACATTTCAGAAATCATTCAGGCAGTTAGTAACATTTGCAAACTGCTTGGTTACATTTCAGCCCTGCCATATCCTCTTTGGGAAGCAACCTTCTCCCCCCCATCCCTCGGGAGGCCTTTTAATCAAGGGAACCTGTTTTGCCAAAGTCTGGTACCTATTGAAACCGCTTCTGAAAAAGTAAGAAGTTACAAGTCCAAGATTTCACACTTTTCAGTCAGTAATTCACCGAGCGTGAAAGCCAGGAAAATCTTTTCACATCTACTAAAAAAACCTCGTCTCCCACAAGCGAAGGAGCAGACCACTACTGGTTTGTGCTGGGCAAACCTACAGTGCGGATGCTGTTACGGGATGGATTGCTGCTTTGATATTTATGTCCTGACCAGAAATCTGTCTCCTCTTTATCCTGGCAGTAGAAGTGAATGAAAGAACCAATCTTGAGAGATCACAAAGGAAGAAAAGCTGCTTAAGAAATAGACTCTGGGCCCTGCCAACTTTTCTGAGACATTCTAATTGAAAATGACTCCTGGTATTTCTTAAGAGATGCAAAATTCAAAAGAAAATGAAGGCTGCTTTTGAACAAAGGATTTTGCCCTGTACTGTACATTGCCTAAACTTACTCATAAATATACAATAGTTACCTTCCCAGAACCTCTCTGAAGAACTTAGCAAGCAAGATTTTGCCTCTGCTAAGCAGAGTGCAGAGTTTAGAACCATTATAGTTTTCCAGACTGATGGTTGTATTCCTTTACTCTTAAGAAAAATGAGAAGCTTCTATTACCAAGCATCAGTGAAGAGTGAGAGATCTGCTTCTTGTTAGAAACTGGCCTTCCCAAGTAGACCTTTGTCTTAAGGAGCCTGATTCATAATTTTTCTTTAGTCTTTGGCAGAGAAGAAACCAAGGGGCTTTTCGTGTCAAAATATTCAGGGCTTGCTTTGTTGTTTTTTTGTGGTTTGTTTTTTTTCTTTTTTACACAAGACAAACTTTTGTATATTATCTGTTTATATGGTATATTTAACTCTTTGTTTAGTTCCTTTATTATTTTTTTTTTCTAAGTGGCATTCTTAAAGAGCTGTTCTGGTTCTTGGGTTACTGGTGTAGCAGGCTTCTGCTTTAGGCAAAGGCTCAGGAGTGAATTGACTGAACATCTTACTGTGATGAAGTCGTTCAGTGAAGGAATTGCATCATCCATCCTCCTCTTGCTGTTTCTTCCAAGAGTGCAGAGCTGCACCTCCTCACAGAGCAGGAAAGGGAATGTGCCCATGAAATCAGTGACCCAGCCCTGTGCTGTGTGGATGAAGGACCAATATGGCAGAGATGGAGAAGGGGGAGTCAGTCATCACTTATTCTCAGCTATACAGGGGTCTTTGAGCAAGCATCCCTAGGACAGGAATGCAACTTCCAGGGCCCAAAGGGACACTCCTCTAAAACTTTTCCACATTGAGTAAATGCTTCCTCTCCTTCTGTGCTAATTTTAATTTCTTTACCTCTGGAAAGTATTTGGCTTACAGCTGTTGGCTTATCCAGAAGCCATGTTGTCCGTTCAGGCAGATGGTAGGAAAGGTGGTAGGAAAGCTGTGAGTGTGGGCTCATCTAAGAGAAGACCTTGCAGCACTGGATCTGGAGCGTTGTGCAGGAGCTCCTTTGCTGCATCGCAGAGAAGGAAACTTTTGGAGATTTATCCTGAGATATAATGCTCAGTCAAAGTGTATACAGTTTATGCGTACTATTTTAACAGTTTATACTCAGCCTGTGAAAGTGTCCGGCATGCTGGGGTCTGTGTGGGTGGCACCTTTTGCCCAGAGATCGGAGGCACCCGCTGTCTGTTCTGTTCTGGCACTGGTGAAGGACTCAGCTGTCAGGCAATGCCCAGTGTGACCCCTCTGCAGGCCCATCGCTGGCTTCAGTGCTGGACCTGGCACCCAAGTGGTGTGGGACCACTCTTTGGGAAAGGCACCAGTCATTTTACAGGTGTACCTTGAACATAGTTTTAAGAGAAAAAAAAAAAAACCTCAAGCAAGTCAGATGCCATTGTGGTGGCTTGTGTTCCTGTAAACATCCCCAGCCTTGCAGTTTTTCACCCGTTCAAGAATTTGGACATGAAGCTAGAGCACAACCATGATGTGCTTGTGTGAAGTATTGTGCTTTATCTTTCACTAAAAAGTGAAGCCTTTGGTGCAGGCATTGGAGCTGTTGTGTTTACATCCCCGAAAGGGGCTGGGTGAAGGAGGTGTTGACTGTGGTGTGTGTTGAAGGCCTTAAACTGTGACTCTTGGTATGAAGAATTGAAATTAAAACTGACCTTGAAGAATGCAGTGGATTTTAACCCATGAAGAATGCTCTGTGCTCTTAATTAAGCAATATGTACTGCTGTTTTTTTGGGAGGAAGGGAGAGGTTCAACTCAATTTATGTTTGACCCTGTCTAGCAGCTCTTTAAGGAGCAGAAGAGGTGTCTATACGCGAGGGCCAAAAATAGTTCAGTTCTCGGCACCGCTGTTCCTATGTAGCAAGCGTCAGTAACGTGTTCCTGGGCTGCCGAAAATGGGAGAATTATTGAGAGGGTCAGGGACTCGGGCAGCAGTGGCAGCTGGCAAATTCATTTCCTCAACAGCAGGTGAACAGGTCTCACTTGAATATGCCAAGGGCTAGTGCCGTTCTGGACATACCCCTGGCAAAAAATAACCCATGCACCAAACTGTCTTGCTACTGCAAAGCATTCATTTTTTTGCCAAATCTCAGTCCTGTTCAGCCAGTATTTCTGCTACCCCCTAATGGTATATTAAGCTAAATGCATCTCCAGCCTTCCAATATTGTTAACTTCAGACCAATCAGAGGAACATTGGAGCCTGAGGCTTTAGGCTAGCAGCCCCAAAGCCAATGGTGGCCCACATTTCCACAAGCCCTGGGCAGAATTACCAAGTCACAGCACTTCGTCTTAAATTGCACTGTATTCTTATGCCTCTGTGTTGCTATAATGTACATATATATTGGATTTTTTTGTAGATAAGACATTTTAGATAAAATTTTTAAATGGGCTCCTCCAAAAATATTTTATGCCAGATGTCTAATTTTTTTTACACTCAGGATTAACATGAAGTTGGATGCTCTGTGGGCAGGGAAAAGATAATTGGATGGTACATTGGCTTTAAAAAGGTAACAATGCATGTTTAAAAAAAAAAAAAAAACACTGGAGAAAAAACTGCTTGGAAAAAAATCCATTAAAATATATTCTATGTTCTGCATAATAAAGACTTTAAAAAAAATGCTATATTGTGATTTTTATTTTTTTTTTTTCTTAATGAGGCTTTTCCACTGTTTGGGAGATGAAACCCTCTTCCTCTTCCTTCTTCATCCCTCTACCTGACCCCCCAACATGTGAGTTTCATCCTGGCATGGCTGGGTAAAACTGTAGCCTGTTTGAGAGCTCAGAACCAGGCAGCCTTGTGTGTCAGGTGGATGTGTAGCTGTTTCTTTCCACTCTCAGGTCCATCCTCCAGCAACAGCCCTGGCAGCTGCTTCTGTTGTGAGGAGATGGCTCTGCAGAGGTTCCTGCTGTTGGGGTCACACTGTGCTCCTGAGTGGCCCCCGTGTCCTGGTGCAAGCCATGTAAAGCTGGCTCAGCTCGGGAGTTGGGCTGCTACCCTTGGGTGCTGCTGGAGTCTCAGGCTGCTGTTGGCTGTCATGCTGCTCCTGAGATGTTTGAAAGGGCTTCTTGATCCATCTCGCATGGGATTGTTGGGTTCCCATCTGTCTTGTGGTCCGTGCCTCGATTTAAACATTTCCTTCCCTCCAGCTCAGCCCTAAGGTTGCACAAGCCAGATGTCGGTGTTTGAGAAGGAGGTGTGGGTCCTGTGTTCAGGTGATTTGTGGGGTTGTGCTTACAGCTGCTGTAGAAATGTTGGACTTTGGTTTTTTCCCCTGCTCAGTGACCCTTTCTGAGGTCTGTGCCAGCGCTGATGCTTTTCCTCAGTGGGCTGCAAAACCTTTCAGCGTCTTTCCCTAATGCTTCCATCACAATCATTTCCCTAATACTTTCCTTCCCAGGCTGATGAATTCCGGTGGGGGCCCGCAAAAGATGCTCTCGAGACCCTGTATAACAGCCCCAGCGTGGCTCTGGGGGGGGGCAGAAAGGATGCTGCCGGCACAGGAGGGAGCGGACCAAAGAATAAAGACTTATTTTGAGTGATGGAAACTTCCTCCCGCGGCTCGGGAGCAGCCGGAGCTTTCACGGCTTTCACGGCGGGGGGGGGTCTTCCCTATTCGGT